TATTTTTCTCTTCAGCATGTCTGAGAGAAATATGTCAGAAAAATAGGGCTTAATAAAAATCAGCTGATTCAGAAGAGTATTCTTAAATTTAGGAGGTACAAAATACAAAGGAAAGTTTTCATTTCTTTTGTAGTCATTACCTTTACCTTCTTGAAGTTTGTAACATAGTTACAGACCCGTTCTTAATAAAATTTTCAGAAACACTCATATTCTCTATTTTAAAATATGCTATTAATCTTAATTTAAGAGCAATTAATTTAATCTTCAGAATAAAATGTCATTTATTGCACATCTCCTATATGGTATGTGCATTCTACTCATGACATATCACTTCATAATACTATGAGATAGGTACTAAAAGCCCCGTTTTATAGATGAGAAAACTAAAGCTAAAGATCAGATAACTTGCTCAAAGTTATACTATAAAGAAGAGATAAGGTAATAAAAATGAGATTCAACTGCAGGCCTGATCCCAAAGCCTTTTGCCCTTCATTACTCTATCCCCATTTATGACATGTATTTTTTAACAATAAAAGAAAAAGCTAAAACAAAACTATTTTTGAGTAGTTTTAAATTTCCACCATTTGAAGCTTCTAATACAAAATTCTGGGATAAGTAAAGTAGTTCCCCCTCGCCACACTGAAAAACATAAAACCTTCTAAATCTCTGAAAATAAAAGGTAAGCTCTTATAATTTTCATTCCCTAATTCCTTCCTCCTATACTTGCAATTACTCTTCAAAGCCCCATCTTTTTTATAAAACGCTGAATAAAAACAATAACATCAAAAACTATTCATTTTACATCCTAATCTATCTGTGAAAGAAGCATGAACAAAGAGGTAAGTATACCACCTCTATTATTTCTACCTTCTTCTCCAGAAGGACAAACTTCTCTTTCCTGAGTGATGTCCTGCCCATTCACCAAAGCTCAGTCCAAGCTCATTTACTTTGTGCAGTCATACCAATTTCTCTCTTCTTCCAATTTGCATTTACTATGTTTGTTATACAAGTAGCATTTTATTGCATATTGGCACATACAAGTTTCTGAATTAAGTATTTGTTGAATTATTTCTGTCTCTAGCAACCAATTTAATACTTAGTTATTGAAACAAAGCAGTATCAATGTAATTTGTATTCTCTATCAGTATGCAATATAAGATTATCAGCACATAATTGGCAGAATGTTATCTGGCTCACTAGATCTATGTTATCTGGCAAACACAAAATGTATATGACTGATCTTCTCAAAAGACAAAGATTGGTTTTTTATTTATTTTATATGCCAGAATCATTAGCACACAGGTACATCAGATGTACTTAAGAAATATCTGCTGATAAGTTGTATTTCTGATCAGAATGAATGAAAATTTCTCAAGAAAATTCAGCCATTGTGAAGATTTATATGGACTGAAGGGTTATTAGTGTTTTTTTTTCTTTCAGTGTTTTCAAAATAGAGAGCAAATACAAAGATTGTTATCAGTTAGCAGGTAACATCTGAACATTTTACTGACAGGAATTATGATAAGAAAATAGATTCTCAAAAGTATAGTTGCATGGTAGTTTTATGACTTTGCACAAAGTCATCATTCTTTTCGCCCTAAAGAAATAGAATCTTATATAGAAATATATAAGAAATATAATATAACTTGTATAATTTACAAGTTAAATTAACTCTTAAATTTGCTGCAGGATCAAGTCCAGTTGTGGGCGGAATATACAAGATAACAAAACTTTAAGCAAAAGGTTGCCACTTTACTACTTGAGAACTGAAGCTTAGAATAGGTGAATATGTATATTTTACAAATAAAGCAAAACAAAATTTTAAAAGCTATTTAACATTTAGAGTGAAGCACACCAGTAATTTCTATAGCTTACTTTTCATTTAAATTATACATGTTATTATCATTTTCCACCTGTATCATTTTTAAATATTTACAGGATTATATAATATACCGAGTGCTATGGATTCTTTATATATATTTTATTATTTATGTAGGTCTCAATGTTTAGTCCTAGGGATGTCACAAAAGCTGACATGAATGAGTCTGACTAAATTGCTTCTTAAAATTAATACAACAAATAGTATATGAGGAAAATCAATTAATACATAGTAACTACTATAAGTAGTAGAGTGAACTATTAAGAACTTAGATAAAATATGTAGCCCCTTCCCCTGACTTACACTAAAGAAAAGGGAGTGGTATTGATCCATGTTAGTTAGGAAAAAGTCTTGCAATGGCCTCTGGTACTCATTCTCCAATCATGAGTTACTCTAATTACATAATTCATAATTATCTAATATTAAAGAAACAGTAAAACAGCTTGAGTTCTGAAATTGTATAGACCTGATTTGTATACTTGTGCCGCTGCTCAATAAAGCTATAATTTTGGACAAAGTAATCTCTTTGACCCTAGTTTTTTTTTTACCCTTTCATTGATAAAATAGAGTAATAACAATATCTGCAGAATTACTAAAGAATACATGAATATTTATCACTGTAATACCTGGTATGCAATAATTCCATAAAAAGTAAACTATAAAAGGAAATCAGATATGAATTAATGAGATTGCAAAGAATCAGTGCTTACCTAATCACTCAAAAAGAGAGAGATAATATTAGGATTTATAAAAATGAAAATATAAAATTTACAGGAAAGAAGTATTAAGTGAACAGAGACTCAACTTGAATAATTTACATATAGATTGTCATTTTAACTCTTGATCCAATCATTGTCTTACTAAATATTTTGACAGCTTTGATAAATCACATGCAGGGAAAAGGGAGGGAGAATCCTGGGCTATTCTTCATTTTTTTGTAAGCTTATATTCTTAGGTTTAATATTTTAACTGGAACACTCTGGCCATGGATTTACTAGCATTTAATTTGGGTCATAGTTTTGAGAGGTCTTGACACTAAAAGAACCAGAAATTATAACCAAATTCAGATATCCTATAGAGGAAGTTACATTATTAAGAAAGAATTGGATCCTTATTTCAGGTAGTATAATTATATGAATCTACATGTTAGGTATAAGAAGTGATGTGAATCATCAGTGATAGATAGTTATACTAAATTTTTCAAAAATATTTTTCATGACATATAAACCTAGACAGTGATACTTATGATTTTATAAAGTAACTTTAGATATACTAAAAAAAAAAAAACCTACATTTTGCCATATGTCAAGTCATGTCATACAAGTATATTTTTTAATGGAGCTCATTCTTTTAACTATACAATATAAACTACAACTGCCATTTAAGATACTATAAACAAGCTAACTAAAAATAAAATACATATTTATTTACTATATTGTTTTGAGAATGTCTTCTTTCATTGTATTTAAGTTTATATTTTCCTTTTCAAAGTGGCCACCATCACAAGTAAATTATCATAAAAAGTCAGATACACTAATATGACAAAATAGAACTCTAATTATATTTAACATTAAGCTTCAATTATTTTTTTGTAAATATCTCAGTAGGGGGACTTAATCAGACAATTCTGTTATATTTCTAAAATAATTATTACCTACATGAGTTAATCTGAGTTATTAAAAAGATGCCTTAATTATCAGAGAATTAAACTTAAGAAGTATTATACTGTACTTTAATTCAAAAAACTAACAAAAGTCAAGGATTTTCAACTTTTTATCTGTACAGTTAAGTAACAATACACTTAGTTTAAAAAAAGTAAATTGAAATATAGGTAAACAGCAAGCATCAGAAGTAATCCATTCTGAATTGTCTAGTATATCAGTTTCTATTATTATTGTTTTTGTGGCTAGATTTCATCTCTGAAAAGCTAAATCACATGTAATAGGATCATGATTTAGAGAAGGCCTCAATTTTTATTCATCATAATAATATGATGTCAGAAAGTGTTCAACTTCAAATCATGACAGATAAAAACTCCATGTTTAACAGCCATATTTAGTTTGTTTGAGCTGCTGAGCAGATGTAAATGTAATCTGCAATACTAGGAAACTCCAGGTCTGATAGATAGCAAGCTAATATTTATTTTTAAGTGCTCTAAAAATTATTTGTAAAAGCTGCATAAAAACGATTCCATAAATGTATTGTGATTTTAACAATTATTCTACACTACAATGGAAGTACATGCTCAAACAAGACACCTCAGCAGTATTTTAAAGCAGTAACCACCTAGCCAATTTCTCTATGTTCTGTAGTTTTTCTAATCCACTCTCCCTGTGGTTGAGCAAAATCGAATTGCCTCTCACATTTGCAGACAGCTCTGTGAAGGTGATAATAGAGCTGCTCCCTGCTGTCATGAGGCAGGAAATAGGAAAATGGCATATGGGGCTAGAAAGAAAGAAATAAAAAAAAGAAAGAGAGAGAGAGAGAACGAACGAAGGGGGGAAAAAAGAACTAAACAAGAACAAAAGATTTCAACAAAGAACAACTATAACCCAATATGCTTTGCAAGTAAATCTCTTTTCAGAATCATTTAGCATATTTAATCATTCATCTGTGTCCTCATTCCAAAAATGCAAGTGGCTGATACTAAGTCTTTGGGTCAAGTTTTCATTGTCTAAAATATTTGGAACATCCAACTCCAGAATACGTCCTGCACAATGTCTGCAAAACAGTGTCTAACTAGATATATAAAATGTTGTGCCAATCCCACATTTTAAAATAAAGGAAGGTAGAATAATGTTAATTAAAATATTAATAAAATATGTACACAGGCTTTTTAACATTCTTAAATCTATGAAATAAAAAGAAATTTAAAAATAAACATTTATGATTAGACAATAGCTGACTACAGTAGAAACAAATCTCTAAGTAGTTATATTGCTAATAATACCAAGACACATTTTTTGACTTGTACAGGTTTTTTGTTTGTTTTTTTAAGTATACAGACAGGGATTTTTTTTGTGTGTGTAAGAATCCTGCTTTAAACAAAAGAAATTTTAATTTAATGTATCTATAAACAGAATGTGGCAGTAGATGCTAATAAAGATATAATCTACTCTACCTTTCCTTTTACACTCTGAATGGGATCCACAACCACTGCCACAGCTCTCTCCGACAAGGCTTCAAAGCTCTGCTGAGTGTTGATATCCACACCAGAAAGCCAACAACCAAAACCAGGGTGACTGTGATACCAACCAACAACCATCTCAGGCCTGAAACAAAGAGGGCATTCAGCGGTTCAGAACAGAACAAGTAATACACATTTATGATATGAAAAGAAACAACACACTAACAGGATATAAATTAAGAAGAAATGAAAAACACACAGGTGTGAAAAAGCACCATTAGAAACACTGAAATCATACACCATATTATCCAGAAAACATGGAAATGAATAAGCATGACAAAGGAGTGCTATCATTAAGAGATGCACATTAGCAGTGGTAGATAAGGCTTTCAGTTTTTCACCTTGTTACCACACTTTCTCTGAGCCAGTTTTTACCCTTTCAGCATTCAAGTAAATATCTACTCTTTAACTCCTTAGCTCTGGGACTTGGATTTTCCAGGAAGAGTACATTTTTAACAATGGACACCAGGATCCACTGTTGTGAAAGGATTAAATATCAATTAAACCAGCAGTAGAACTAGGAACTCAGTCAAAAACCAATTTGCACTGTTCTCCTCAGCTGCTGAGCCTTTTGCTAACATTAATTTTGAAGTTTCTTCCACAGTAAAAGAATTTGAGCAAGAGAATGACAACTATTGAGATTTAATCCGGGAGCGGGGGGGAGAACTTGAAGAACATTTGAATTCTACTTTCTCTCTTTTTAAAAATCATATGCCTAATATAATTAAATATTCAGAATCTTATTCAGTTCCAATACATGGAACATACAAGCTCTTTCAATTATAAGTGACTACACAGGAACTCCATATGCTAAACAGGGAAGCTACAGCCCAAGTTTACTATGTGATGGTTGAGAATTTTAACATGAGGCAGTTTTCTCATTGGCAAATTTCTCTGATTCTAGAAAAAAGAGATACTAGATAGGTGGTTACACAGCACTGAGAGTGATACTTTTACATTAATTACATGGCTTTTTTTTTTTCTAGGTATGATATTTGTAAATATACAGATTTTGAAATACAGCTATAAAAATATTCCCATTATTCCTTTATATAATTACTTACCTTCCTGTCTGCTTCAACATATCTAACATTTTGGCTTGGAACACTGGATCAACTGCCTCCACACTGACACCCTAATTTAGATAGAAACACAATTAGCTTTTAGAACTATAAAAAAAGACCCACAAACATTTATTACATCCTAAATAAACAGAAAGTTACCCCAAAACCCCCTATGCATATTATTTTGGGATACCAAAATAATTTTATAGGTTTGGGTACCCATAATTGATTTCTACTTATATCATTCAATTATAGCCATACTTTAATAAAACTAAGACTGCTAAGTATCAAACTGCTATTAACTAATAAGTTAAGACAGTTTTGGGGATCCTTTAAGAGTTTATGGCTATGGCTACATACATGCACATTCACACACATACACACCACCAGTACTGCTACTACTACTACTACTACTACTACTACTACTACTACTACTATTATTTGTAGAAATACCAAATAATTGAACCAACTATTTTTGGTTAGACCTACCTTGGCAAGCATACTTTCAAATGCCATTACTGATACCTGATAAGCACTATGTCTCTCTTCCATCCTATTCGAAATTTTATAACTATTCAGCTATTATAATAATCAACAACCCGAAATCTTTTTTTCCCCCCTTGGTAATATAAATACTTTGAAGAAGGAAAATAATTTATGAGTTTCCCAGAGTAGTTTTTGTTTGTTTCGTGGGTGGGTAGGTTGGGAAGGGAATAAGTGCTAACTAAAAGGACTATTCCTGATTTTGGTTCTGGCCATGATCTCAGGGTTGTAAGATTGAGCCCCACATTGCACTTCACACTGGGCATGGAGCTCATTAAGATTCTCTCTCCCAGGCAGCCAGGGTGGCTCAGCAGTTTAGCACCGCCTTCAGCCCAGGGCGTGATCCTGGAGACCCGGGATTGAGTCCCACGTCAGGCTCCTGCATGGAGTCTGCTTCTCCCTCTGCTTGTGTCTCTGCCTCTCTCTCTGCATCTCTCTGTATCTCTCATGGATAAATAAAATCTTAAAAAAAAAAAAAAAAAAGAAAAAGAAAAAAGATTCTCTCTCTCCCATTTCCTGTGCCCCTCCTCCAATTCCCCATTGGCGACACTCTATAACCAACTGTTTTAAATGTTGCATTATCTTGCTAGTTCAACCAAAAATTTTTAGAACATGGAAGAATTAAAGGCATTCATGTCACCTCTCCAGTGATAGATCACTGCCATTATAACTCTTACAAGGCTTTCTTCTAATACTAGGAATTTAATTCTAATAAGCCTGTTAACGTAAGCACTTTCTTCCCACCAAAACAAACAATATTTTGAATTCTAACTGAGAAAGCATCCTCAAGAACAGGGGTATACAATCTGTTGCTGATAAGGTTTTTTAAAAATATTTTTAAAGGGTATTTAAAAAAAATAACAAAAAACACAAGAATATGAGACAAATATATGTCTTTAGAGATAGTTTGCTACCTTTTGGGCCAGAAGAAAATCTTTCTAATCTACTACATGGAATGAACATGAAGATCAAGATCTTCTTCTGTCAAACAAGCATTTACGAGGAAATAATGATACTAAAGCTTAAGAATTCTTTTTTATAATTGATAAGGACCACGTGTAACAGAAAATACTAGTTAATTTTATGTTTTTCTTATTCTGACATGAAAAGGAAAATATAAGTAAAAATAGTCTATGATATAAATCTAAATCTTTAGTTAATACATGGCATATTTCCCTATATTCAGATGTACAAAATAAATACAGTGGATACCAGGTGGACAAAAATCAGCAGATCTAAATTAGTTTACCTCAACAAATTAGTCCAATTGAAGAAAAATTTGAGTATTTTTCTTTGCATTATTTACAAATACACTGCAATCTGTAGTAACTATTTAAAATGCTGGAGCCTCTCTTTCCCTAAAATAAATAATAAAAACTAAATAAATCTTTTTTTTTTTTTTAATGTGGTGCCTGGGTGGCCCAGTTAGTTAAGCATCTGACTTGTGATTTCAGTGCAAGTCATGATTTCCTGGGTCCTGGGATCAAGCCCCAAGTCAGGCTCCACATTTAGCAGGGAGTCTGCCTGAGATTCTCTTTTCCTCTCCTTCTGACCCTCTCTCAACTTGCATGCTCTCACTTGTGCACTCTCTCTCTTTTAAATAAATAATAATAAATAAATCTTTAAAATGCTTGGGCATCTGGGTGGCTAAGTCAGTTAAGTGACTGACTCTTGATTTTGGCTCAGGTCATGGTCTCAGGGTCATGAGATAGAGCCCCACATTGGGCTCCGCCAAGCACGGAGTCTGTTTAGGATTCTCTCCCTCTCCCTTTGCACTCTACCCCTCAGCTCGCTTGCATGCTCTCGCTCTGTAAATAAATAAATAATAAGAAAAATAAACACATAACTTCTTTTTCTCTATTATCTACTTTATTGAGGTATACTTAACAGTTACGAGCCTCAAAGCAAATAGCTTTATGACAACAATTTCTTTAACCCAATTATTTTAAAAGGTTCAGTAAGAGAAATGTTGATTAGAGAAAAAACATCCATCTGAAAAATATACATATTCTATATTTCTTGACAAAGAGATGAGAAGGATATGTGTGTAGTTTTTTTAAGAAAGTCAGAATGGTGGTTGTCTTTTGGCCATTTTCTTTAGCTCTAAATGCATACCTTTTTACACAAGTCCAATGCCATTAAACAAAATAGCATAACGAAACAAAAACCTTCCGGAAAGAATAATGCATTCTAAATAGGTAAAGTGGATGACTTCCAAAATTTATATGTAATATACTTCCATTATAAAGAAATTACCATACTTGGACAAAAAGAACTGAAGTTTGCCATAGTTTTTTGTTGTTTTTTTTTTTTAACTTAACATTTTGAATATAGAAAGCTTAAGAGTCATTTAAGCCATCTTAAGCTTAAGAGTCATTTGTAACCACAAGGGGGGGGCATATTTCAAATCAAAAGGAACAGAACGTGAGGACTAGATAATTTATGTGAATTAAAAGTCTCATTAAGAGAGTCTCGGGATGCCTGGGTGGCTCAGTGGTCAGGCATCTGCTTTTGGCTCATGAACCCCAGGCATGATCCTGGGGCAGGTCCCGGGATCGAGACCCACAAAGGGGTCTGCATGAAGCCTGCTTTTCTCTCTGCGTGTATCTCTGCTTCTCTCTCTGTTTCTTACGAATAAATAGATAAAATCTTAAAAAAAAAAAGAGAGTCTCTAAAATCTTCTGAACTGAGTATTCAAATTAATAACCTAGTATTTTAGGGTAACTTATAAATCCAGTATGTTACCATAGTTAAAGCTCAAAGTATGAGTTAAGGGACTTAATGCTAGCATCATTCAGTCTGTTGGACCTATAGGGAATTCATGATGCATTTAAAAGATGAATGATTTAATTCAATACAGGGTAGAAATTTCTATCATTAATCTTATGATGGATTTTTCCTATCAGGATGAGAAAATGTAATGTGATGAAAGTTATTTTGCATAGGGAAAGGAAAGAGAAAAGAAACACATTTACTTACAGCAGGCAACCATAAAAAGTACTCACTGTTCCTGACTGTGGCATAGCAAACACATCAATCACTCTGACGGTGTAATCATCAACAAATTCTCCAAGCATCAGACCCATAACTTCCATTGGAACTCCAGCCCGACCATGCTTTAACATCTGCAAAGAAGAAGATGGGTGGATATAAAGCTTTAAGATCGTTGGTCCTTTTTTTTTTTATCTTAAAGGACCGAAGTTTGTTTCAGTGAAAATAAAACACTTATTTTACAGATGCACCAAAAACAATGGCTTAAGTTTGAGGGTTAACATAACAAATATTCCCATGGAAAAGAGAGTGAAAGCAAAAGAGCTCTCTAAAGCAAGTGACTCTATTCAATACTTACTTTTAACAGTGCAAGGGAAGAAATATAGACTTGTTCTGCTGTGTCCACTGCAGGAGCATCTGTAGGTGGCCCCTAAAAATAAGCACATCAATTATTATAAACACACAGTTTATGAGTTTAAAATTAAAGTTATATGTTAATAAATTTGATTGTTTTTAAGAGTTTTGAGAAAACCCATCAAGTATCCTTTTATTCTCAAGTATCCTTTTATTCAGGTACAACACAAATAATCAAAACAACTTTGTAAACACCAAACCCGTGGAAAGCAAATCAAACTTAGTTCTCAGGCAAGTGTCCAATGGATATAAAGCTTAAATCTTTCAACGATGCTAATCTACCTTTGCTATAAAACAACTAAAATGCACCAATTAGCCATGTTTCTTACTGCAATCTGAGACGGATCTTCAGCTACAGACTGCATGTACATTAGGGCTCTGGGATCTCTGCAGATACATAGACATAGTTGGGGGGGAGGGGTAGAAGAGTTCTAATCCCATGGTGAAAAAGCTGTGAACAACACACTATGCACTTCACCCTGATGAAGTTGTTCCCCTCCCCAATACAACAAATTTAATGGGAGTGCACCAGGTATGAACAAACTGGCTGAGACTGGTGTGGCTAACATGAAAATATTTTCAAATTCTGACTACCACCTTTATTTATTTGTTTAAAGTTTTTATTTATTTATTCATGAACGACACAGAGACTTAGGCAAAGGGAGAAGCAGGCTCCCTGCAGAGAGCCTGATGTGGGACTTGATCCCCAGGCCCAGGATCACACCCTGAGTGTGAAGGCAGACGCTCAACCACTGAGCCACCCAGGCATCCCTCTAACTACTACCGTTAAAACAAATGGTACTATTTATCCTACTATAGGTTAAGGAAAGACACTATGTTTTCCCTAAGGACTATGTCTTCTTCATCAAAAATAAGCCTCTTTTAACTATAATATTCAGAGGCATGAGGTAATTTACAGAGAGTCCTTACCCTCAAGATGACTATTATACATGTAATTCTGCACACAGAAAGCGTTCTTGTTTTTCAATACTGGGTAGTCTGGGAAATTACAATGAGATGTGTCCTATAATTGCCAGGTTCTGTTTTGCTCAAAGTTCCCTTTCCTTGACAATAACTCTATTACAAATTACAAAACAAATGTTATTACAAATCATATTTTATCTTGCTTTTATGGATTTACTTATTAAAATTAAACAATTGCTTTACTCATTACATTTCAGACTTATAGGTCTGTGTATTTTGTGCTTCTTGTCAGTTATATGCTGAATTCCGTGATTTTAAAATTTTTATTTTTTGCTTAAAAATTCATAATATTTGCTGAAGTATTAAATATAAAAAGTTCTACAAGAAGTTTTCTCTAAATACAAGAATCACATAGGAAAATTACCTTTTTTCTCTCTCTCTCTTTTTTAAGATTTTATTTATTTGACAGAGAGCACAAGCAGGGGAAGCAGTAGGGCGAGGGAGAGGGAGAAGCAGGCTCCCCATGGGGAAGGGAACCCAATGCAGAGCTCGATGTAGGACTCGATCCCAGAGGCCTGGGATCATGACCTGAGCCAAAGGGGACACTTTAACCGACTGAGCCACCCAGGTACCCCCACCCCCCAGTTACCTTTTTTCTTAGAAAAATTATAATTTGTTATTTTCTTTCTTAATACAACCCTTCTTAACTTGCCAGAAAATACTAAAAAAAGGAACAGCGAAATAAAACATCACACCAACAGCAAATGTATTACTGACAAAGTTCAGAAACTATGCTTGCCATCAGTTAAAGAAAACAGTCTGTTTTGTTCAACATTATATATAACCAGTACCTAGCAAAGTGCCTGGCACATGCAAGAACTTCCTAAGTATTGGCTTAAAAAAAAAAAAAGAATAAACTGAGGTATTACAAGCCAATGGAACAGAAATGAAACATACCCATCAGTTACACTGTGAGAGAGAACAAGCCTTATGTAAGTCGACATAAAGATCATTACCTCCTCTTTCACTATTTTCTTCTGGTTCAGAAACATAGGAATAGAAAACCATGCAGCTGTTTCTCTACTGGATGGGTGCTGTTTTTTGAGAGAGCAGCCAGTGGTATTTCCTGTTACTTCTCTCCATTACTATTCTGTTTCTTGATCTAGTCAGACTAAATTGTCTCAGGAAAAATAAACTTGGCAAGAAGTAGAAAAAGAGTTTGTAGTGGTGAACTACACTTTAAAAAAAAAAAACGATTTTATTTATTTATTCATGAGAGACACAGGCAGAAGGAGAAGGAGGCTCCATATAGGGAGCCCAATGTGGGACACAATCCTGGGACTCCAGGATCACGCCCTGGGCTGAAGGCAGCGCTAAACTGCTGAGCCACCCAGGCTGCCCGTGAACTACATTTTTAAAAAGTAATCTCTACACTCAATATGGGGTTCAAACTCATAACCTTGAGACCAACAGCAGAGATCAAGGAGCATCTGGGTGGCTCAGTTGGTTAAGTGCCTGCCTTTGGCTCAGGTCATAATTCCAGGATCCTGGGGACAGAGCCCCATATCAGGCTCCCTGCTCAGCGGGGAGCATGCTTCTCCCATTAAGAGTCACATGCTCTTCTGACTGAACCAGCCCAGTGCCCCTGAACTGCATTCTCAGAAGAAATAAAAAAAAAAAAAAAAGAGTAACTGATGTAAAATACTGTCTATGGGACAGATGGTAAGGACCTCTCGTAATCGTGAATATTTGAGATTATCATTTTGCTACACTTGTCCGGAATAGCATATAACCAGGCAAAGAAGAAAACTCCATTAAGACCCTGGAAACTAAGCTAAGAGATTTGTATACAAACCTGTATGGCTGTAGATCAAAGATGACCCAAGTTAAGAAAAATGTGGGGCTATGGACAAAATACCTATATTGTCTTGGCAAATGCTCCTGAGGTATAACACCCTGATGATTCGAAGAAAGGAAAGACATCTAAAAATAAGACTCATAAACAAAATTTTAGAAACCTATTTGGCATCAGTACTATATAAGCTTTCCTAACCTTGAAATAAAAAGTTCAAGGACAGACCAAGATGAAAAGATGAAAAATAATGAAATAAAATCACACAAGAGGGAACAAGGGCAAAAATAACATTATGACAAATTCATTTTTTAAAAGATTTTACTTATTTACTGGGTGCAGGGGGGAGGGTGGAGAGAGAGGGAGAGAACACGTAGGCAGAGCGGCAGGCAGAGGGAGAGGAGGAAGCAGGTTCCCCACAGAGCAGAAAGCCCAATGTGGGGCTCAATCCCGGGACCCTGGTAAGATGACCTGAGCCAAAATCAGACACTTAACTGACTTAGCCACCCAGGTGCCCCTGACAAGTTTAATTCACTGATACAGAACCAAAGATGTCTCAAGACGTAGAGTAAAAAGTTAGAGATGAAAACAACTAAAAATATAATGATACTAGAGGACAAAGGAGCTATAAGCTAAGAAATAGTGTTCCTAAGGACAAAATAATAGAAAGAATCAATCAGTAAGTAAAGATAAAGCTGAAGAAAACTTTCCTGAATGAAAAAAAAAAAAAAAAAACATTTTTTTTCAACTTTTGGATCACTAAATGTCAGACAATAAATTGAATAAAGTATTATACCTTGAAAAATCTTGGGCAAATTTTTTTAAGAGAGGGTAGAAGAGGCAAATGGTAAGGGAGAGAGAGAATCTTAAGTGGGCTCCATGCTCAGCATAGAGCCCAACACAGGACATCATCTCACACCCCTGGGCCATCATCTCACACCCCTGAGCCAAAATCAAGAGTTGGAAGCTTAACTGACTGAGCCGCCCAGTCACACTGGGTAAATCTTAATTACATGAATAAAGCAAAATTCCTAAAAACATGAACAAAACAACTAACCTGATGAAAAAATGCAACCCAGGCTGACTTTGGATTTCTTTCCCACATTAAATGGCAGAAAACAATGAAAGAGTTTCCAAGTTTTAAGAGAGAAAACCTGTGAGTCAGAAATTTTATACTCAATTAAAAAAATATCGGAAGGCCCACAAACATGTTACTATATACACAAGAACTCAGAAAATATGATTCCATGTATCCTCCTTCAAAGGACTTCTTAAATAAATTGTCCACTTGTGCCTCTACAAATAAAAATTAAAGCCTGAAAAATGGAAAAGCCCTTATATTTTAAAAATTCTGTTAAGATTACTGAAAGCAGTTAGAAACAGAGAGAGATCTAAATAATAAAAACAAACAAGGTTCAGGGCACCTGGATGGCTCAGTCATTCAAGCGTCTGTCTTCGGCTCAGGTCATGATTTCAGGGTCCTGGGATTGAGCCCTGCATGGAGCTCCCTGCTCAGCTGGGAGTCTGCTTCTCCCTCTTCCTCTGCCCCTTTCCCTGCTTATGCTCTCTTTCTTTCAAATAAATAAATGAAATCTTAAACAGATTTCAAAACCATACTGTCCAAACAACTACACATGGCAGTGGAAAGAAATGAAGTATTCCCTATTTTACATACAGAAGGGGGAAAAAAAAACTCTGTTTAAGTGCTGATTTTGACTACTACAGAAATATGGATTAAAAAGTCTTCTGAACAGGGACACCTGGTTGACTAAGCAGCTGGGCATCTGCCTTCGGCTCAGGGCATGATCCTGGAGTCCCAAGATCGAGTCCCACATTGGGCTCCCTGCATGGAGCCTGCTTCACTCTCTGCCTATGTCTCTGCCTCTCTCGTTCTGTGTCTCTCATAGATAGATAGATAGATAGATAGATAGATAGATAGATAGATAGAGATAAATAAATAAATAAATGAATGAATGAATGAAATCTTTTTTAAAAACAAGATTTGTGAGAGACACAGTGAGAGGCAGAGATGTAGGCAGAGGGAGAAGCAGGCTCCATGCAGGGAGCCTGATGTGGGGCTCGATCCCGGGACTCCATGATCACGCCCTGAGCCAAAGGCAGATGCTCAATCACTGAGCCACCCAGCTACCCCAATAAATAAAATCTTTAAAAGCAAAGTCTTCTGAACAATTTAAAAATAACCACAATAAACAATAAAACTGAATGTACATCTTACAAAA